GTTTGTGAAAAAAAGCTGTTGGTATTTTGGTAAGTATTGCATTAATTCTGTAGGTTGCAATAAATCTGTAGTATGGACATTTTAACAATATTTGTTCTTCCAATCCATGAGCATGAAATGTCTTTCCATTTGTTTGTGTCATTTTCAATTTCATTCATCAATGTTTTTATAGTTTTCAGAGTACCAATCTTTTACCTCCTTGGTCAAGGTTATTCCTAGGTATCTTATTCTTTTTTGGTGAAACTGTAAATGGGATTGTTTTCTCAATTTCTCTTTCTGATACTTCATTATTAGTGTGTAGAAATGCCACAAATTTCTGTATATTCATTTTGTATCCTGGGGCCTTACTGAATTCAGTTATAAGTTCTGGTAGCTTTTGGGGGGAGTCTTTAGGGTTTTCTATGTATAGAATCATATTATCTGCAAATAGTGAAAGTTTTATTTCTTCCTTATCAATTTGGATGTCTTTTATTCCTTTTTTCTTGTCTGATTGCTGTGGATAGGACTGCTAGTACCATGTTGAATAAAAGTGATGAGAGTGGACATCCTTGTCTTGTTCCAGATCTTAGGGGAAAAGCTCTTAGTTTTTCACGATTGAGTATGATGTTAGCTGTGGGGTTTTCATATGTTGCCTTTATTACATTAAGGTATATTCCTTCTAAGTTTACTTGGTTAAGCATTTTTTGTAGGGTTTTTTGGGATTTTTTGTTTGTTTTGGTGCCAATTTTAAATATACTTTTAAGACATTGCATTTTCACCTACAGTACTTATAAAGTGTAATGTTATTTCCTTTCTCTGTACATATATTCCACATTCAAGTATTAAGAATGCCCAGTTATTTACTATAGAACCTCAACTTTTAAAATGCCATGGAATTTACTACAAATTTGAGTCATCTGATGTTTTGTGGAACAATGCTAAATCTATGCTCAGGCTGGCTTAATGAACATCTTCAATGGTGGACCCAGAGGAAGAACTACCAGATGGAAGAGCTCCACCATGAGGGAAGCCCTCAGACATTCCTCCTGGCACACCTCCTGCACTCTGTTACATATTGGTAATGATGGAATTATAGACTTTCTCCAGCTCTTTCTGCTGATATTCATATTCGTCTTGCTTTGCAGTCTGCTTAATCTGGATTTTTCTCTCCAAATTTTTATTTAAATTCTAATTAGTTAAAAAAATTCTAATTAGTTAACATGTAGTGTAATATTAGTTTCAGGAGTAGACTCTAGTGATTCATCATTTACATACAATGCCCAGTTATTGAGCATTTTTATCATGAAGGGGTGATATACTTTGTTGAATGCTTTTTCTGTATCTATTGAAATGTTCTTACAGTTCCCATTTTTTTCTCTCGTTGATATGATGCATCACATTGGTTGATTTGTGAAGACCAAACCACTCCTGCATCCCAGGAATAAATCCCAATTGACTGTAGTGAATGATTTTTTTTGATGTATTGTTAGATTTGGTTTGCTAATATTGTGCCAGTTCTTTATTATTATTATTATTATTATTATTATTAATGAGAGACACAGAGAGTGAGCCAAGACATAGGCAGAGGGAGAAGTAGGCTCCCCATAGGGAGCCCGATGTGGGCCTCAATCTCTGTACCAGCATCATGCTCCAAACTGAAGGCAGACACCCAACCACTGAGCCACCCAGATGTCCCTATGCCAATACTTTTTTTTTATGCCAATACTTTTTAAAGAACATACAGCTTAGGGACACCAGGGTTGCTCAGTCTGGTGATCGTCCCAGTCTTGGTTCAGCTCAGGTCATGATCTCAGGGTCTTGGGATGGATCACCCAGTCAGGCTCCACATTCAGTGGAGAGTTTGCTTGAGATTCTCTCTCTCTTTGTCCTTCCCCGACTCACATGCACTTGCTTGCACATGCTCTCTCTCTCTCTCTCTCTCTCTCAAATAAATAAATAAATATTTTTAAAAACTAAAGAACATACAGCTTCCTCAAATGTATTTCTTCATCATCAGAAAAACCAGAGTCCGTTAGAATCCCAGAATTATCAACAATACTCCATCATTCATCTCTCAATTAATATAGGTTTTCATGCAGGGAAAAACATTCCTTATATGAACAATGGGAAAAAACTACTGAATTGAGATGAGCAACTTTGGGTATTTATACAATCTCTTTTCTTCCAAGGATAAGAAGGGGGGAAAATATATGCAATCAGAAAACACAACTCAGCCCTGAGCTTCAGCTGGACTCAGAAGATGATAGGCTCCTGTCATCGAGAACAAGAAGCCTTCTTAGGTCACTGATTCTCCTTCTTTGAGATTCAGGACCCCACAACAGTCCAGCAGCAGAGTATAAAACTCATTCATAGGGGCTGCAATTTTCTCAAAGAGAAAATATCCACTTGCCTCAACTCATAAATAAATGTCATCTGTATTTCATGAATACATGCCCTGTGTCATCCAGCAAAAATATATAAGATAACAAACAGAAGAGAAGAAAAACCTAGCAGAAAGCAAAACTAATTTTCTCCCTTTCCAAGGAGTGGCAGAAACCACTCATGAAGCTGTGGCCCACAGAAACTACTCTTGGCCTTGTTGTGCCACAAAAGGAAAGAAGTTCATTAGCCGAAGTAGTGCTTGATAATTTAATTGCTTGGGACTATTTTCTTGCAGAACAGGGTGGAGTGCATTGTCCTTGCTAACACAATTTACTATGTTTATATCAACAGTTCTGCAGAAGTGAAAATTCATTAGTTAAAATCAGAAAGCAAGCCAGTTGGCTGTGGCAGATTTCCCCAGAGATGCCTGCAGGAACTGATTGGTTTACTGGACTCTTTTCCAGGATTCTTGAAGGGATTAGATCAATGTCACAAGGAATGCTAAGGTTTGGGTTATTTGTACTCTGCATCTCATTAGTTGGACATGTAATTTTTTAAGAATGTGCTTTTCCATGCTTCCCCCAGAAGAACCAAAGAGACAGCTAAGGTTTGAGTCATACAGACTGCACATGTCAAGCCAAGTGCCAGGGTTGTTTCGTTCCCCAAATCCCCAACACAGTACCCTTTTTCAGAAGGAAGTAGGAGAGTGGAGGTCACCCATTCCCTCAAGACTCAGGAATGATGAAATTATAGGGGAGCTGGACCCTACAGGTGGCCTGGCCATTCTCATGCCTCCAGTGGCACACCCTAAGACCAGATGGTGTTCCACTGCCTGCTGACCACAACTCAGCTTTGATCAGGAAATAAAAAACCCCTGGCTGCAAAAACCCAGGCCCTTGATCTATGGAGTAGAGCTTCCAGGTTACCTGGAGCACCTGCCCTGGGCTGTTCCTTTAGAGAGAAATAAAGTTCTATTTCCTGGAGCTATTGATCTCAACCCACCCTGATCAATACTCATAGCTGTAGATGTTTTCACATGGTAGCTCTTCAGCGGCATCGTTTACCATTGGTTAGACAGATGGTGGAGCGGGCAGGCCTCACCAGGACCCAACAGGGGCCGTTCCTCCAAGGTCCGGTGCCCGGTGGGAGCCCTCTTCCAGGTCGTCACTTGGTCATCATGCCATTGTTCCTACACGTGGCGGGGGGCAGAGGAGACGAAGCAGGCTCTCCCTTGCTTCTTCTTACAAGGACACTAACCCCATTCATGGTGCCTCCAGCCCCATGACCTAATGACCTCCAAAACACCCCATGCTAAACACTATCACACTGGGGATGAGGGTGTCAACATACCAATTTGGGGGAGGCACAAACTTTCAGGGCAGAACAGAGGCTAATCTTACTTTTCTTTCGAGGCCTCAGGTTGGCAGTGGTGTGGGTACAGCCTTCAATCCACCACTTTCTGCTCAGTTCAGCCAAACCACATAATGGCACCATTTCTTTCTTAATTTTAATGAAGCAAGACTTCCATGCTCTTTGCTTAAATAAGAAATCAAGAAGAGTCATTATTTTCCTTTTCTTTTTTCTTTTTCAAAGATTTTACTTTTTATTTGAGAGAGAGGGAGTATGAGCAAGGGGAGCTGCAGAGGGAGAGGGAGAAGCAGACTCCCCGCTGAGCAGGGAGCCCAATGCGGGACTCGGATCCCAGGATCCTGAGATCATGACCTGAGCCAAAATCAAGAGCTGGATGCTTAGCCGACCGAGCCAGGTGCTCTTGTATTTTTTTCTTACAAAAAAAAAATGTTTTCTAGGAATTAATAATAGCCCAAATTTTTTTCATTGACTTAGTTTCCTATATGCTTATCATTAATTCATCTCCAAACTCTTACTAAGATGGTAAATGTCTTCCCAATACTTCTAGACACACAAGTTAAGCTAGCAATTCATTTTCTGATTGGAATCATTTCTATAGGAGCCCTCCGTGCTCCTCCTGCCACCGGGCTCACATCCCGCTGGACCAGCGGCACACTTATCATTTGTGAATTCTTCACTATCTGGGAAATCCACTTCCTCTCTCCTCTGAAAGATCTCCTGCTCCCCAACTCATCCTTCCACCCAACAAATACTGGGCATGCTGTCTGTCCCAAGCACTGTTCCAAGCTCTGAGAACTCAGCAAAGTGACATACTCAGCAAAGCTGACACATGGAATGGGTTATTTTCTCACAGCTGCCCTCCTCTATGAGATGAAGTTTCCAGTAAAGCCATGCACTCATTAACGGCAGTCATTGTTTTTATGGCGGTTTAAGTTTTAAGGCAAGTAACAAAAGATCAAGCTTTAATTTTACAGATGGTTTTCAAAGTCTGTCAAATATATCACACATGTAGTAATTTTTTTCTTGCCAAAAATGTAGGCATGCATTTCACCATTCTTTTTTGTTTTTTAGAGATTTTATTTATTTATTCACGAGAGACACATAGAGAGGCAGAGACACAGGCAGAGGGAGAAGCAGGCTCCTTGTGGGAGCCCCATGCAGGACTCATCCCAGGACCCCAGGGTCAGGTCCTTAGCCGAAGGCAGACGCTCCCCCACCGAGCTCCCTGGGGGCCCACATTTCACCATTCTTACAGTGCTTTGGATGTATGCATTTTAATTTTTTAAAATTTATTTATGATAGTCACACAGAGAGAGAGAGAGAAGAGGCAGAGACATAGGCAGAGGGAGAAGCAGGCTCCATGCACCGGGAGCCCGACGTGGGATTCCATCCCGGGTCTCCAGGATCCCGCCCTGAGCCAAAGGCAGGCGCCAAACCGCTGCGCCACCCAGGGATCCCCAGATGTATACATTTTAAACACCAACAGGAGCCCCAAATTTGAACAGCATCCTTGGCACCCCACTTGAGGATAAATCTGTCAACAAAACACAAAGAAGGAAAATTTTCAGCCTCACAGAGCCCAGAGATTTTAGTACAAGAAGACAAACAATAGGTAAATAAATAAGTAAAGCACATAATATGCCCCCCAAAACTGCTGAGTGCCATGGAGGAATAGAAGAGCAGGTGTGGCAGTGGCGGAGGAGGGTTACAGGTGTCCAGGGAAGCCCCGGCTAAGAAGGCGACCTCTAAGGAAAATCCTTAAGGGAGTGTGAGCCATGGATACTTCTAGAAGGAAAGCATTTGCTGTTGAGAGAACAGCAAGTAAAGGGTTAAAAAAAAATCCTAAAGTGAGAGCGTGCCTGGCATGTTTGAGGAAGAGAACAGAAGCCCTGTAGCTAGAGCCGAGTCAGCAGGGGAAAGCGAGGCAGAGCATGAGTTCAGAGAGGAAATGGGGCGCCCGATGGGTCGGGCCGTGGGGAGAACCACGGCGTCCTCACTTTTCACTCGGAATCAGGTGGAAGGCGCTGGGCGCTGACGCTGACGGAGAGGCGCCCCAGGAGCAGAGTGGGGGGGGGCGGGGGGGGCGGTTGTTGACAGCCTGCGGAGAGGGGAGCGAGATGGGAGCAGAAGTCGGGGCTCCTGAGATGCTGCCGACAGCGCAGGCAGGCGGAGCTCCAGGCTTGCACGAGGCGGCACGAGGTCGCGAGGGGGTGAGAGCAGGAGACCCAGTGCTCGAGCTGCAGTGCTCGGAGCGGAGCTGCCTTGCGTTCCCCACCTGCCCCCGCAGGGCTGACACGCTGCCCAGAAACCCTCCCCACGTGGAGCACACCTAACCCACATCAGACCAGGGTCAGTGTGGGAGGGCAAGCTTTGCACGCGTTCAGAGAAGCTTGAAGGACCAGCCTCCCCCCCCCCCCCCCCCCCCCCCCCCCCCCCCCCCCCCCCCCCGGCCTCCCTGCGCCATCAGCATCACCGCGGGTCTTCTTGTGTATCCATCCTGGTCCCTCACGGCGTCTCGAGGGCTGGTGTCAACAGCATGCCGTCCCCTGCTGTGCCGGCTTCCCCGGGGGAGGGACCCGACCTCCGCCAGTACTCCGGCTGAGTTAGACACAAGTGGGTGTTAGCAAAGAAGGCCCAGGCGGAGCGGTCAGGGAGGGAGGAAGAGCAGAGACTGGTTTCCTTCGGGAGGTCCTTCCAGAAAGTGGGTCGCTGAGGAGAGGGTGGGAAGCTCCTGGGGCCTGGGGGAGGCCCGCCCTAGGGCAGACCTCCCTGCAGCTGCCAGCTGCCAGCTGCCAGCCTCCTCTGTCCTTAGGAGAACCCAGTTGTCCGTACTTGCCTCAAGACCATCAGACTCATCTGATAGGAATTTCCGGGGAAAAGGCCACCAGCATTTGGTGTGAGAAAGAAATTGGGGGACCTCAGAGGTCATCTTTTAGATTTTCATGCAATCCCCTGTTTTTAGGACTACATCTCCTCCCATCCTCAGCTACGCACAGGTGTCGGTGAGCCCAGAGCCCACCTTCTCTAGAGAGTGAGCCTCTGGTCTCCTGCTCCCCCGAGGGAGGGGAGGGTCGGTGAGGGGGCCCTGTGGGTGGGTGGAGGTATGTCTGTGACTTGCAGCCAACACTGTGTGAGCTCTGCTCATGTCCTCTGAGCCCCTCTGAGCTCATCTGATGTTTTTAAGTTAAAACAATTCAAAGCGCGCACAGCAAACTAGTTAAATCAGAAAGGTTTTCTTTGCTTAATTCTTGCCTCTTGAGTAGATGTTTTTTGCATAGCATATTTAATAATGCACAAGGTTTACTGCACTCTGACACCCACCCATGGCTTTCAGACACCTCCCTTCCTTAGTCTTCTCTTTCTGTTCTGTCCCTTGTCCCCTTTGCTCATTTCCCCTTCTGACCTATCCTTTAAAATATGGTGTTTCTGCAGCATTATCAGCAACAGCCAAAATTGGGATCCCTGGGTGGCGCAGCGGTTTGGCGCCTGCCTTTGGCTCAGGGCGCGATCCTGGAGACCCGGGATCGAATCCCACGTCGGGCTCCCGGTGCATGGAGCCTGCTTCTCCCTCTGCCTGTGTCTCTGCCTCTCTCTCTCTCTCTCTGTGACTATCATAAAATAAATAAATTTAAAAAAAACAACAACAACAACAACAGCCAAAATAGGGAAACAGCCCAAGTGTCCATCGACTGATGAACGGATAAAGATGTGCTGTATATATACAATGGAATATGACCCAGCCATCAAAAAGAATGAAATCTTGCCATTTGCAACAATCTGGGTGGAGCTAGAGGGCACAGTGCTAAGTGAAATAAGTCAGTCAGAGAAAGACAAACACCGCATGATTTCACTCATATGTGGAATTTAAGAAACAAAACAAACAAGCAATGGATAAAGAAGAGAGGCAAATCAAGAAGCCAACTCTTAACTCGAGAGAACAAACTGAAGGGGAGGGGATGGAGTGATGGATGAAGGAGGGCACTTGTGAGGAGCACTGAGTGATGTATAGAATCTTTGGATCACTGTATTGTACACTTGAAACTAATGTTACACTGTGCATTAACTCACTGGAGTTAAAATTAAATTAATAAGAGAAAAGGAAAGGAAAAAAGAGAAGAGAAAAGAAAATTAAAAAAAAAAAAAAGATAGGTGTTCCCTGAGCTTTCACATTCTGTCATGTGGTAAACCTCAGCTCTGCAATCTACGCCCAGGGCTTTGAAGGCAAAAAGACCTCACTGGGTCTATATCCCGGTTTTTTTTTTTTTTTTTTTTTTTTTTTTTTTTTATGATAGTCACAGAGAGAGAGAGAGAGAGAGAGAGAGAGGCAGAGACACAGGCAGAGGGAGAAGCAGGCTCCATGCACCGGAAGCCCGATGTGGGATTCGATCCCGGGTCTCCAGGATTGCGCCCTGGGCCAAAGGCAGGCGCCAAACCACTGCGCCACCCAGGGATCCCCTATATCCCGGTTTTCAACACAGAGTAAAACACATTTCATGACCACTTCTAAAAGAATTTGTCTTCTTTTCTAACTCCTGAGTTGCCTTCAAAAAAGACTAGAGAGTCTGTGGGGTGCAGAATCAGTTAGTTGGATGCATATTATCAAGTCCCATCACAGAGGACTGAGGGTATTGATGAAGAAACGAGCATTGGGATGGGTTATCTGGGAAAATTATATAAAACTTGGAAACCCCCCCAAACTTCCTCTGAAGCATCTCCCGCTGGCCCTCCCTGGAGCGGACGCTGTGCGGGCTCCGTGCAGGCTGCAAACTGCTCCACAGCTCCAAAGCCAAGGCACTGGTTCAGTCAGGTGAACACCGAGCAGGGGGTAAGTGCAGAGCTTTCGCCCCACAGGCAGCGGGGTGACCGAGGGAAAGTCTGAAAAAGGGATGCGTAGTGCAGCTCCCCAGTTCTTTCATTTTTAAAAAATATTTTATTTATTTATTCATGAGAGACACAGAGAGAGAGGCAGAGACAGGCAGCGGGGGGTGAGGTGGTGGTTCATAGAATTTTATTTTCTGACTATCCCATCAGGGGAAATTCCAAAGTTCATCCAGGAAAGGGAGTCACCATCCTGGAGAAACTACCTCCCCCAGCTTAGACCTGGGCACTGGAGGAAGATCCTCCTGCAAGAAAAGCAAACAATGCCCCCCTGGAGCCCCACTCCTCCTCTCAGCCGGGAGTGAGAATGGGGATCCCAGCATGCAGTGGTGTGCATGCTCAGATACAGCAAACAATTAGGTGTACAAGACGTCTAAACATGAAATCCGGTTCCAAAAGAGAAAGTTTGCATATTAAACTGCCTGGGGGGCTCAGTGTTTGAAACTCTACCTTTGGCTCAGGGCGTGACCTCGGGGTCCTGGGATCGAGTTCCGCATCGGGCTCCCCACAGGGAGCCTGCTTCTCCCTCTGCCTGTGTCCCTGCCTCTCTCTCTGGGTCTCTCACGAATAAATAAATAAATAAAATCTTTTTTAAAAAAAGAAGATGTGATATATGTGTGTGTATATATTTATATTTATAAATATATACACACACATATATCAATACACACACATATATCAACATTGCTCAGCATAAAAAAAAGGATGAGCTCCTGCCATCGGGACAACATGAATGGATCTAAAGAGTACAATGCTGAGTGAAGTGAGTCAGACTGAGAAACTCAAATACCATATGCTTCCACTCATATATGGAATCTAAGAAAACAAAGGAATAAACAAAAAGTAGAATCAGACCTATAAATACAGAGAACAAATCAATGATGGCCTGAGGAAAAGGAAAGTGGGGTGAAGGGTGGGTAAGATGGGTGAAGGGGAACAGGAGGTCCAGGCTTCCAGTTACGGAGTCAGTTATAAGAATAAAAAGATTCCTTATGGAATCTAGTCCACATACTGTAATAGCACAGTGTGGTGACAGGCGGTAGCTACCCCTGCGGTGAGCACAGCATAACACATAGAGATGTCAAATCGCTGTGCTATACACCTGCAGGTAATGTAACATTGTGTCAACTATACTTACATTTTTACAAATTTTTAATGAGTAAATAAATACATAAATAAAAATCTCCATATAGAGTGTTCTTAAGACACCTGAGGGGCTAAGGGGTTGAGTGTCTGCCTTCGGCTCAAGTCATGATCCCAGGGTCCTGGGATCAAGTCTCACATCGGGGTCCCCACAGAGACCCTGCTTCTCCCTCTGCCTGTGTCTCTGCCTCTCTCTGTGTCTCTCATGAATAAATAAATACAATCTTTTTTTAAAAAAAAAAATAAAGTGTTCTTTAAAGCTTTTTATGACTGCTAATAGTTGGTGTGATAGAAACTCACACATTTTTTCCCCCTTTGGCTTACCACTCAGCAGGGATGAGTAAAAGTGTTCCTTTTACTCATCCAGAAACTTGAGAGATAGAAAAAATGTGTTTAAATAAGAATACTGATTAAAATTTTGTTGATTACAGTTGTTCTGCGCAGTTAACATGTAGATTTTATTTTTTCTCATCAGTGTGAAATATTATTCTTTTCACTAAATATTTTATCATTTGATTAATATTTTTCACTTAAAAATATGCTTTTACAACACAAAAGCCATAAAATTTTATCCCTCTGAGACTAATGTAACCAACAGGGTCAATGTATTTGTGGAAGGTAATAAATGTGATTAATGACTTGGCTCTCTTTCCAAGGACTGAGAAGTTTTAAGATGTCATTTTTTTCTGACAGTATGTCTCTTACTTCTAGCCTAAAGAGAATCTTTCTTAGAAGACTGTCATATTTAAAACGTTGTCAATTTTGGCTTTATTTCTATTTTCTCACAGCCTGGCCACTCTGGGATTTCTTATTTTAGGTTTTTATAGGCACTTATTAATTTCTTATAATTAAACAAAACAGAAGCTCTTTAATTTTAAGAATTTTATTATATTTATTTTCTAATGCTTCTATTTAAAGGAAATAACTTCCTGAAGGAAGTTATCTTTTTCTTATTCATGAGTCTATATAGTACCAATCCTTGGGGAATTGACAGCTTTGACAAACATACTGTTTTAACACTAGAAAATCTAGTGTCCACTAGAGTCGTTGAATTTTCCTGCAATCTTCACTTCTTAATCCTCAATTCACATGGATTTTGACTCAAGGCTATATCTTGAGTCATAATATCTCATATTCAAACAATGTGAGAAATAAATTCCACTACAAGTGCAGACTGTGTGGAATGTCTTACTTTACGGAAAGAAAAGGGGAAAACACATGCATTCAGAATAGAAAGCACAGCTCTGACCCAAAACTTCACCTCTATCTATACTCCTAGAAGGCAGCTATTTTGAGAAAAGGCCATTTTTTCAGGTTCCCGCTTTCCATCTTGGAGACTACATACTCTATGCCTGGTCCAGTAGCATCTCAA